AATTGATGATTTTCTAGCATTGTACTAGTTATGAGCTTTCTAATGAGATATTTGCGCGAAAAAATAAGCCTATGGCAAGTAATCAATTATTTAATTTAAACTTTTGAATTAAGAGCGTCCCGCTTTTTTATTATATACTTGAAATCAAGCCGTTAATTGGCCGGGTTTAGTCCGCCTGCGCCGCCGCATACACTACTGTCCATGGATTACGTGTAGCGCGCGGCGTATTTTTTTTCCTAGGAGGGTTGGGGTCAAGTCATGCATAATTCAGTTTTTCCTTTGAATAATTGCAAGACACTCAGGTTCTCATTCTCTTTTCCCCCTTAAATTAAAATTATCTCAACGAAAAATTCAGAGAAGAAAAAGAGTCGATGAAAATGAGCAGCGACGACGTGGATTCGAACTAGTATTGCGAGATTTCCTCGGTTCCCCGGTTCTACCCGGTTCCAATATGAGAACCGGAACCGCGAGTCCAATCTTTTCGAGAACCGGGTACCCGCTATGCTCGGTTCCGTATGACGGAGAGCATACTCTTGCTAACCCGCGGGTCGCTCTCCTGCCGTTCGGGCGCTAGTACGCTCGAACGCACCATAACTAAGACGTTACCAACTCTTGACAATTAAGCGTACATTGCTACTGTGTTACTTTTCCCATGAGATGTCCATAAGTGCAAACAGTCTGATTTTGTGATTGCTTGATTATATAGTGGCCACGGATGAAAAATAAAGAACATATTTCCATATCAGTACAGGCGTATCCAGAGTCTGATATTGGTTTGTTGCTAATGTGCGTCTGTGTTGTTTTGTTTTATAGTGAGTATGTATACATGTACCTGTTTAATGTTGACTGCAATGACACTAAAACTAGTCCCAAGGTTAGTCCCCATTCATCAGACACCCCGCCATTTCGGTACGACTCTCGATGAAGACAAAATAAAGTCTGCCGTCTGAGGACAGACTGCTCATCATTCTAATAATTTAACCAGCAAAGATATAGACATGAGAACCATCAAACGAAGCATACATTGCATACGGCTTTATTACAAAGCATTTGACACTGCCCACGACAAAATACAAACAAAAAGGCTCTATCTTTTTAACGACATATATAATTATGCATGAACGTCATACTGACGTCATCATAATAAATAAACATACATTGTACTTCATTCGTAAACCAAACAAATCTCAATATCATGATAAAAGCGTAATACTGGAATGACGACATACATTGAAGACATCATTACTCCAATTTTCTGAAGGAAAACCAACTATTATGTACAGAATAGATACAATTTTGCTCCGACTCCTAAAAGTGCCCATGCATGGACTAGTTTTAACGGTGTGCTAAGGCATTAATGCAGTATGAACAAATATATTGCCTACAACAATCATGCCTATAGCTATGTACAATAATCACGCATCAGCTAGCTGCTATTGATATTTTGATAATATTAATGCAGCAATTTGCGAAGTGGGTTTCCATATACAGCTATTGATACAAAATACCTAATCCGTATAATTATTTTCATGGGGAGTCAGGTTGGCGCAGTGGTTCTTTCCTCACCTTCCACCTCCATGGCCCGGGTTCGATTCCTGCCTTAGCCACATGTGGATTGGGTTTTCAGTCCCTTCATGATTCCGTTAGTTTTCCCCAGAATACTCTTCGCGAGTGTTCCTCCTGACTCTAAAAACTGCTTCTCATTGTCTCCTCTCTACAGGTTTATTTTGGCTTGCGAGCTACAGTGCCTAGGGTGCTTTGAGGAATCCTTGGTTTCATTACCAGAACTAAATAATAATAATGTGTTAGAATGCTGTAAAAGATTTTACAAAAAAATATATAATAATAAAGCAATACGTGTTTAAGACATTTGAAGGAGAGCTTTCCGAATGGATACTTTTAAATGAGGTATGTACGCAAGCATAACAACTTGTAACATAACGGAGGAAACAAACTACGCAAAACTCTTTTAAAGTCTGAAGCGTATGTCATTGTAAAATTATTACATGTGCCCTGTACAAAGTACCACGAAAAAAATCTTCGTAAAAATATGCGTAGTCAGACTTTGAGGAGAAAGGTGGAAAACACCGACCTTGACAAAATACAGGAAAATTGAAATTGAATGGACAGAAAAAAAAAATCAATTACCGAGAACACGAAAAGTGAACATCTTACAATGCAGGTCACCTCAACTGTATAATACAATATAATTATATTATATTATCATAATACAAGAACTAGTTCCTCTAGTAAATGATTTGATTTAATTTCAGTCATGTCAATAATAACTTGTATGCAAGGTCTTTTACATTTCTTTTCAAAAAATATAACACATTTCACGTATTAAAAACAAGACTTTTTTGATCCCAAAATACACCCATTTTTTTTTTTATCACACAAAGGAATTATAAACTTCTCATCACAAAAAAACTGAAGTTGAACTGGTCAAAATCTACAGAAATAAAAACAACCAAAATGTGACTTATACCGCGACATCAATATTTTGACTTGGAATAGCCACATACAAATGAAAACCAATAACAGCATGAATACTAAGACTAGTTCTCAGAGGCACATAATACCACATTGATACAATTATTTTTGCAGGCAAGATAAGAGATTGCTCAATTCCAAGATACTCCGGTTGTATCATTCTTTCTCACTTTTATCAGCGAATATAACTACATGTACTTGTTTCACTACTAAGTTAAGGCGACGACTGTTTCAGTCAGTCAAGCAATAATATTACACGCAGCATGTTACGAGATCAGCCATTTTTCTAACTTGAGACTCAAGAAATTTGTTGTCGAAGTGAGTTTCATTCTACACTGGATCTTTTCTGTGGTATCTCTGATGTTTTGTGGTTTTAGCCCAAAACGAGAACACTTGTACTAGCAAAGTAACATATACAGCTTCTGAACAATTTACCTGTTTGATTTTGTTTAACATATTGAATACAATTTACTGATTGACATTATCATGATCCTAACGACTGTAAGGTGTATCCAATTTTAAACCTCAGTAGGAAAACCTGGTCAACAGAAACTTGGCAAAATGATTGATTTGATTAACATGCCTGGTACATGCAGACATTAATATATCAGCAGTGTGATTAATAAGCATCTAATTTATGTATTAAATTTGTTATATTTACATATCTTGCAACACATAAATATAACTCATTTGACGAGGTGACCTACACACATTTCAATGCAAGACTTTAGACTTACTGACTGACTAACAAACACCAATTTCACCAAACTAACACAGATTTAGAAATATATTTGCTCATTACATATATTGTATATGAAATATCTAGGACCACTTTTTTACTAACCTCTTTGTGCTACTCATCAGTAACACCAATAATATACTCTGATGTGTTTAATAAGTATAACTCAGGCTTATAGGATTTAATACAACAAGCTACTTTTAGACTTCTTGGAGAGAAAAAAAAACATGGACAACAACCAACATGTAATAGTTATGTCAATTTGAATATCTATGCTTTAAGTACTCTTAATATTTAATTAAGCAGGCAATCAATTTGTTCATCAGTTATTTTACATAAATACTTATCATTTTATGGAATTATACAAACAATTGAAGAAACACTCATTGTGACCAAAGAACTAACTTCAATGGGCCATAACAGATCGAATGGAGTTTAAATAAAATTTGGAAGAAACAAAATACAAACATTACAATATTACATAGGTCATATTGGTAATATAGTGTACATGTCTATAATACGTTAACCATCTAAATAAATTTTATCAAATTGAAGTGGAAGATATCAAGATATTAAGCACAATATAAAGTTTGGCCTTGTAATACAATTTAGTACAGGTTTCACCAGTGCTTCTTTAGTGGGATGTAAGTTTCCAAACTCGGAGAAGCTACTCTAATCGAGAAATTAATTTAATAAAAGGCATTATGTAGATAATATATTAACATTGCATTTTTTGCTCCACTTGAAAATTCAAAACTTCAAAGGCTTCACTTCAGAAAAAAAGAAGCATTATGAGGCCCCAGTTGATAAGTATGCAATGTCATAGCAGTGTTGCTTGACTGTCTTCCTGTCCTGTATACAAGACTGGATGATTTGGCATGTTTGGCTGCAGTTTATTTAGTCTGGTATTTCAAAATGGATGTTACTTGTTAACATGATTAATATTGACTTAGTTAAGCTGTCAAATTTGTTCATTAAGGATGTGGGTGTGTGCAGCATACTGCATACATCCTGAGGACAGATTCTTTGTGGTCCGCAAACATACATCTTTTGTTGAGAGTGGTCCTCAACAAAAGTGTGTGTGCTTAATCTATTTGGGAGTGTCATATTATAGGAACAAAGGGAAATCAATGCCTTGTCCTAAAACGTAATAGAACTGTGTGTGATTGAAATGCTGCCTGTTGGAAACAATCTCTTATTTTGTCTAATGAATATTTGGTACTTAAGAGTTGAGGTCCAAAGAGGACATATAAGAAACTTTGAACAATAATGGAATAAAAAAACCAATGGATAGGGGAACCAGTGTCGGGATTCTCAGATTTCTTGCTTTTGGTCCATTATGAAGAAAATAATCTTTATACATGTAAGTTTACACATTTTCTGAACAATAGTACATACGCTATGCAATTCTATATTCCTAAGCGTTAATGCACTAGCTCAACCACTGAGTTGGCAGCAGGGCAGTCGCTAGAGGGGCGGTGTGACACCCCCCATTCAAAATTTCTGTCGGCAAATCCATAATAGTTGTTGGCAAATTTGTAAAAATTGAGGGCCTTTTATTATTTTACTGTTGTTGGCAAATTTCGAAATCTGAGGACCCTTTTTTGCTTTGTTTTTTTTGCTTGTCAAATATTTCGTTGCAAGTTTGTCAGCAAATTTTACTTTTCACACCTCCAATAACTTTTTCTGTCGGCAAATTTGTAAATTTGAAGACTTTTTTTGTTTGCTTGTCAGATGTTTTGTATGCAAATTTGGTCCAACCCCCCCCCCCCCCCCCCCCCTTTGAAAATGTTCTAGCAACTCCCCTGGTTGGCAGGGTTAATCACCTTTCCTGGCTACCGGCTAGACACTTTGACACAGTGATTTTTCAATCTCAACATTTTTCTTTGAACCCATTCATTGGAATGGAGAAAATTGTATAAAAATGTTACAACCAATGAAAACTACCAAAAGCAACAACTTGCAAAATTCTATTTTAAAAAGCAAACCTATCTCCCATTTCTTCTTCACTTGGCTTATCTCTCATAACGTATCATCTCACTTGTGAGATTTGTCATTCTGGTTAAACACAAACTTTGAACAGTAGGCTCTCTATACACTTATCAAATATAAATATCAAGGCTTTATCTTACAATGCAAAGATGTGAATGGCTTCAAACGGCTGACGGTGGGCTGCCTTCTACCACATCTTTTAACCTGTCAGCATAGTAGGCATCCTTAGGACTGCCAGACATGACGTTATTCATTGCATCCGTCTTGGAGCCTGGATTCTCCAGAGGATTTTCATGGATATTGACTTGATCAGGTGACCTGTTGCTTTCAACACCATTCAAGTGCCCCCTACCTCTTGGTTGATGCAAGGGTGACGTATCATGTGCGTACGGTGATGTTATCCGTAACCCAGGGGAACTATGCTCATCCCATGTGTAGTCCCCACTGTCATGGTCGCTACCCCCCAGGTGGTTTTGGAGGGCCTGTATCTGAGGGTTTGGTACATCAATGACATCACCCTCTCCATCTGATTCTTCACTCTCACTGCCCAGATCACTAGATGCCCGTGGGTGTTTGTCAGGCAATGTGTCTGGGTCTCCTGGCCCTTCCAATGATGTATCTGAGTCATTCTTAGCTGGTACCCCCTCAGGACTTGTAGGTTCCTGTGTTGGCACAGCCTCATAGCCTTCTTTACCTCCTTTGGTAGCTGAATTGCCCCTGGTGTCCCCCTGACTAGCGTTGGAGTGCAGGCTTGTTTGAGAGGATCTTGCTGGACAATTCCGTGCAACAGTGGACACAGCTGAACAGTGGACAATGTATGAAATCTTCAGAACTATCTCAACCTCAAATGAAGTATCAAATTAAAGGGGACAACAAGAGCCTTTCATTTGAGTTTGTCAGTGCGATAGGAATATGGTGAAATGTATTGTTTTTGGTCCAAACCCCTTTTTTGGGGCGGCTAAAATATTGGATTTTACGGAGTCGTTTTAGCATCTTGTCTTCACATGCACAATACAAGTGTTATTGTGATTTTTGTTTTTTTATGGCAGAAAGGTTCATATTTATGCCAAAAGAGGTTTTTATTTTATTTGATTAATAGGTTTTTACATGTTTTAAATTGTACCAAAGATGGAAGGAAACACTGTAACACGAGTTACCGTAACCTGAGTTACCAAAACACATCCCTCTATATCATGGTAGGAACAGTGCACAATACGAGCAAACTTTCAAATGCAAGTATTTAAATTTCTGCCATGTCCTTTTTGGTAACGAAAGTTACTGATAAAAACTTATGCCCAAACCAACAGAAATATGTTTCGCTGGCCTCTCTGTTGAAGTTAGTAACATTAAATTAAAGGGTCCATGTAATGTAATTTATTTTAATGATACCCTTGAAAGTGCACCTTTGTGTCTCATTTAACCCAAGTTTCAATTTTCATTTTGCCATTTGCAAGGGGTTTTTTGGTGCCATTTTGGTTTTAATGCTAATGCAAATTGTCCATATTCATGAGCAAAATTGCAATGTCACTTCAGGCAGAAACCTCAATGTTACAGCTATTTCTGCACCAAAGTTGCCAGATTTTGGATACTTTGCTGTTGTGGATTTTCTTTTCTTTGGAGATTCATTGTTGTTTTAGTACATGGCAGTAAGCCAATGAGCAAACTTTTCTCACAAATGTTTTCAATGAGCTAATTTTTTTGGTTCACAATTTTAACAGAAAACACAAACAATCACAGCAACAGCGCCCTCACTTTCCCGGAAAAGCATGAACAATTTTAAATGTTTAAAGAAGTGCACTTTTCAAAAAGATTAACCAAAAAGGGATGTCAAATAGTTTTCACACGTGTAAGAAGAGTAGAAACTTGCACAAAACATATTCCCGAGAAAAATTCATTTCATGGACCCTTTAACTTCCAGGGATTTTGACTTCATAGAGTAGCAGCACAGCGTTGAGGGAAGACCCCCTTTTCAGCGTAAAGTGAGTTACCGTGGAAATGCCCAGCTGACTGGCCATTCACACTGTCATTATGACTTCTTGACAATGATCCCCTACCTTGGCAACGATCGATAGGCTGTTGCTCGGACACCATCTTGACCTGTGGCTGCTGGTTGGGGTTGCTGCGAAACTAAACACAAACAAGCAAATGAAATCAATCAGATTGTGTGCAAATGTTGATAAAATTGATGTTTTGGAAAAAAAGAGATTATCTTCTTGAATATTTGTTAACAAACTCATGCGCTTTATTGAATTGTCTTGACATTGGAGAACAGATAGAAAAGGCATTTTATTTTAAACCAAAGATTAGGTTTTGAACTGATATGTGTAAAGTGTGCCTGGTTTGTGTTTAGAATGGTGTCCAAAAACCAGATGCATGTGAAACGCCCATTTCTTGTACAGTTAAAGATTCTGATATAAATCGTTGAGAAATGACAACAACGACCAAGACAATCAACTACTTAGATCTCAATTGTAAATGGTGCTTGTAGATTATTCAGATTCATGAAACTAGACAATCCACTGACAAGGCACTGAAGATTCCTTTTGTGAAAAAAATGTTATGCCACAAGCTTTGCTGTTACTGGTACAATTCGGATGATTCACAATGCAGTGCGCCACCAAGAGTTTGCCATGGAGAGTTCATTTTTCAGGTTTACGGTCAACAAAACATGGTCCATTTGAATGAGTGTCAGTAGACAACTTGAGCTAGTTTGTAATAGATTGGGGCATAGCATTCTGACGCCTTACAAAAAACACCATATTGATAAAAAAAAAAGTAAAGGGCAAACATATACTCGAATCATATGCTATGAAACTACTGACTGGAAAAAACTAACAATTTCAAATGTCCCGCGCTGCAAATTTGTCAACCATCTCCCACAATGCACTGGGAAAATGAACTCTCCGTGGCAAACTCTTTGTGAATCGCCCGAATTATATGGAATAATTTGCATGTACAATTGAAAAGTGTGACTTCTCTAACCTCATTCATATCTGAACTACGTAAAACTGTTCAGTAAGTAATATTCCTGCAAAAATATCAACATTTCCATTGTCTTTATTTGTTTGATCTACATCTCTGCTGATCTACGGAATTGACAAACTTAGTTGCCATAGAAATAGGGAGCCGGATGGGAATTTCCCCGTGTTTTCTCCTAAAAGGGTTTTCACAAGGTTTTCGCCCCTCCCATAAATCAGCCAATCATTAGCCTTAGATATTTAGATTGCACAAATGTATATACACATTCTTTGTCTTTACTTTACCTTAGTATAGTCTGTTTAGCGATGTTGCTTAATAGTTATACATGTAATAGTTTTACAATGCATTAATTCCATGTGTTTTTTTTAATTGTATTTTTAAATTGTTTTCATGTATGCCATTCAGCTTGGATAACCCCTAGACAGAAACAATGTTTCTTTTTGGCAATCCTTTGGGAGCTGAATGGTATTTTGTTTAAATGCTTGTTTGTTTTTGTATCTAAAGCTTTCCGTTTTATGTGTTCATTGTAACTTTGGTCTTCTGTGTACATGTATTTGTTGATTATTACCGAGAAATAAAATGGTATAGTACAGTGATGTATGCAGGGCCCCAATGCCAGACCAGTTTTAAATTATTTTGGCATACCCTGGGTAAAGAAATGAAATGTAATAAATAAAAAAAAAAATAAGGTTTCTAGAGTTTTACTTATTCAAACTCATTACAGATTGTCAAGAAAGGAAATAAGCTGCAAAATTAAACTTTGTGATAGCTGTGACTTACACTAGTCATCTCGATGTCATCAGCCGGGTAGCTCCCTCCAGCTCCTGTTGACTGCAATGAGGCTCGCAGTCTCATCCCATTACGCTGATCTCGAATTATCTCTTCAAGTTTTTCCTGACGTTCTTTCTCACGAGCGTTCCTGATAAACATCACCAATGCATCAAACATGATAAGTTAGATATTACAAATTGTTACAAAACATGAAAGCTCAAAAGACTCCACCTTGCAACACTTGAATGGAAACATGACTCAGACAAGTGACAACACGGTCCAAGGATGGCTTTTGTATTAGTAATGATTGTACCCTCATTATTCTATACTGAGTCATTGATTCCAAAACAAGAACTCATGAGAAATGTAAAAGGTTGTATCATTCCACACTGTACAGACATTACACACATATCCTCATCACAATGCAAATATGTTTTACAATCAGCTTAAATGTGTCACTGTCTTACCTGTTTCGGACATAAACAATGACAACCAGACCAGTGACAATCAGCATAGCCACGAAGATTACACAGATGGTGATTATCAACTTGCGAGAACTATCTTGTGTATCTGAAAACAAAAAAAAATGTGGCATTCTTTTTATTAGCACTTTCTCATTTTTAAGCAACGGGGATGACAGTTCTTTCATATACATGTCTCTTAAATATTCCTGCATTTTAAAAGACCTTTGCTACAAATGCTCTTCTCGGCAAAACTGAAAAAAACTTGTTTGTGAATGTGTAACATATACCACAGACAATCCTTGAGTGCAACAAAGAACGCAAACTGAAACATTGATTGACGCATAGATAATAGCAGACAATCGACGATTGTCTGACAGTGTTTCTCTTTGCCTATAAGCCGAGACTGTGGAAGATTTGCAAACTAAAGTCAATTTTAATTGATATAGAAAACACACAAAAAAATGTAAAAATGATCAGCAACATGGAGTGGTAACTGTTCCTTATGAGGTTTGTTCTTATTGTGTACTGACAGGACTGTCAAGGACGTCTTATAATCCATCTAGCAATCACATTTTACTAAAACAAATCAATTCCCTGAGAGCTTCAAACTTTCCTGAGTATCTGCAATTAAAAATAAACACCAACAACTGGACATTTCTGAAAATCTTAACCTCAAAAAGTAAGGATTTATGAAGCCCAGTTGGTCTTGGAGTGCGATATAAAGCTGAGCTCATAAGTGATTCCTGTAGTGCAGTCAGTTTGCATTTTAACATGACACACAACAGTAAAATGTATTTCTTGAATTTATGAATGCACTCATCAGACCACAATAAACATAACATGGATGGTCAGCATGGAAGTTCAGGATAATAAACTTCTTCGACACGGGGGGAAAAACATACAATGATGGATATTTCCTATAACTGACAATCCATACCGCACTAGTAATACTTTTAATATGTTTAACAGAAAAGATATATAAAAATGAGTGATTGTATACAGTATATTTAAATAAAATAAATTTGAGCACTTTCCACCAAAAAAGTACTAAATAAAGAAAATTTGGTTAAAAGTAAAGACCACAGAATACAGATGTTGAAAAAAGGCTTTACTATGCTTACAGAGTTAAGCAAAACAAGCAGATTATAAAAATAAAAACAAACCCTTCCTAGTTGCACACCACTCACCGGCATATAAGCGGTGATATTTTTTTTGGGGGGGGGGGGGAGGGGAGGTGACCGAATGTTTGTCCACCTGAAATTTCAAATCGTCAGATGGCCGTAAAACAGAGACATAGCTGGGGTTTGAGAGACACCCTGAGATTGGTTGAATCCATGTATTGTATGCATACAGCGAGGTACATGTACACGCATTAAACAGGCCTTGTGTAGAGAGTGTGTTCTGCGTGTTGATCAGAACACATGACTACCCCTCTCTTCTTCCCCATACCCCTTCCCCCCATGTTTTGGTCATGGGTTTTTTCACCCCCCCCCAATGAATCATTGCTACGCTGCTCTTAAACACAGCTCCTGAGCTATCCTTGTTTTACTCTAAACTACTAACTACTAATGATACTATATACGTTTCTTATCTATGTCAAAATGTACGTGATGTTACAACTTGCAATGGACTTGTCATGCACATATGATTAAGTCATGAGCAGAAGCGCATCGAGGATGGAAGGACAATTGCTTTGCTAACATGCTAATCTCCTGAACATTCAACAAAAACTGGAATGCAACAATGACCTTCCAAATCAAACATCATTGTTTAAAATCTGAACTGAAGTTTTGTCATTATTTTTCCAGTCAACCCAATTCCAAAGAATTGGGTAAAATACTTTGGAAAATAAAAGGAAATCACTATAAAAAAGGAATATGTAACCACAAGCATAATTAAGAAATTATGTTAATATATCCATGCTTTTATTAATTTATAATGTAAAGATGTTTTCCTTTATTTTTGTGCATGAAATCAAATTATAGTTCACTTCTCTCTTAGTACAAGTTACCTTTAATGTAAAGGTACATTGTGCTTTGAATAAGACCGACTCATGCTTGCTTGCTTCATGCATATTCATGATGCATAGGATGGAGCATGACAACATACCAGATAACATATAGCGTTTGACCCGATGTGCACGATGATGGAGGGGTGGACCTAACAACAATAATGAGTGTCACATGATCAAGACAAGACCACAATGGTTTGGACAGTCACCAAACTGGTTCTAGCTGACAAACATAATACATTTACATTTAACAGAACTGAGTAGCATTTCAGGTAAACATTACAACATGAAACCAGGCTCGTGATCACCGTACACTCATGAGGCCCCCTTCAATGGAGAAACCATTGTGTATGCTATTGTACAAAGCAACTGCCCCATAAGGGATTATCTGAACAATAGCTAGCACAATGCTTTGGCCATTGAAGGGGGCCTTGGTGATAGAATTGACAATATGCCCAGATTGGTCTATAGATACGTACGGACTGTGTCCGGGAACTGTAGATGGAAAAGGCCAGCATTCATGATGTGCACACATTGGTTTGCACATCGAGTGACGCAGAGTGCAGACAACTCATTTTAGAATAAATCTGCAAAAATCGGTGGTGATATCACCAGGTCATTGTCATGTTTTGCACCATTATGATGACAAGGTAGTTACGTGTGAAGTCCATGTACAGTTCCCTTGACTGGTTTGCAGGAGCCTTGTTGAACTGTTCATGCATCCTGAATTACAATACCAAATGGTACTTATGCATGGCACATTCCATTAACGGGAGGATGTGGCAAAGGGAACATGCAGAATATCATCATATGCACGATCCAAAGGAATGCTGGGATGTTGCCAACACATGATACAAACAAGTACAGTTTCCATATATGCAATGCATTCATCCTGAATCTTTTCTGGGTTTGTTTCACTGAGTAATTTATCTGTGTTGTATGCTGCAAAGTTTCTTGGTCACTACATCTTGTCATCAGGACTTCTTTGTTCATGTAGATGAGAACTAGCAAATACAGGAAAACCTCTTCAACCTTTAATCGTTCACTCCAACTAGTGGTACTGGAGTATCACGTACCCCCCTTCACAAAAAAGTGCCTCAATATCTTTTTTTATCTGAATTTCATTCATCCAAAGATTTGTTATACTTGATGAATCCTCATTTGACCATAAAAGTAATTTCCAACGATGCAATGGTCCATGCAACACGTGCCCATATCATTTATCAAGCATATTGTTAGATGATGGAAAATTAAGAGCCCAGATGCTTCCATATGACTACAAGAAGTATATAAGTTACCCAATTCATAGTTGAATTTTTTGCTGAGTATCAAGTAAAATCTGATAGAACAGGTTTAGTCGTTATTAGAAGATACCTACCAGTACTAGTATAAGAATTGAACACGGAAGACTGAAACAAAGTTAAGAACTTTGGCATTTAGAAAAAAATCACAGCAACCGTAAGGTTTAGACAGAAAGTGAATAAAACTACATGTACATTGTTCAGTATAGGACATGGTTTCAGAAGATATAACTCTTACATGAGTATGTTCTACCATAGTGCAAAAGTAAAAGATACAAAAAATAATGAAACAAGACAAAGTCATTCAACAGAACAGAACAAGTATGGTATCACAGCAGGGAATCTAAAAATAGCAACATGGAAACCTGGACAGGAATGATAAAGAGCGCCCTCATGGTGGGAATCACAGAAGGCAAGCAAGAAGATTAAACAGGGAAGAGGGCATGTCCCAACTGAAGTTTCATGATTTGCAGATTGGAAATTAATAATGCATTCTGACCATTTGGAGATTTTATGGATTACAAGTTTGTCACTGTATTAATGTGTATGCCTACTCTTATTTTTCACAAGATCATGTCATAACTTTTAAAATATTTTATTTGTCAACATTCTTGCAAGCTAACAATGTGTACTGAGAATTTTTTAAAACACATATGACTCTGCCTGATTATTTTATGAAAAAAAGAGGACGAATGGGAAAGTCCCATGCTCTGTTCATAAAAAGATGCGACAAGTCTAGTTTGGCATCATTTTCTGGCAAGCGTATTGGTGCTTTACAGTTTTCTTGTTTTTGCTTCAATTAGTATGTTATTTTTAAGTACACTGTATGACAATTTTGCCATTTACAAAACTCTTGTACCAACTACACTTTCACAAGGTGATTACTGTTTGCTGCAATCCAAGAATGAAACCTTTTGGGACATCCCAGGACTAAAGGAAGAAAAAAAGTAAGTAGAACAGAAATAGATTACAAGTTGAAGCGATGATGAGCAGCTCCCTGTATTGGCAGCCAGGTGACAAGATGCTACAAGTGTGTGATTTGATACTGGGCACGTCATTGCATAATTACTTACTCAGAGAGTAACCTGGTTTGACATACTGACATCTCGTCCCTCCAAAGTGTGTGGGACAGCTGTGACCAAGGCAACGTACAAAAAAAAGGAAGGGGAGGAGAAAACACGAGAGGTTAATTTGCATAAAGAAAGAGTAGGAATGGACGCTTGTAACAGCGCCCTCTATGGGAACTTACCTACTATAGGACGAACCGGTGGTAGGGACTTGTACTGGCATCGCTCACCGGTAAATTTTTTGAGGCAACTGTTTCAAAATGTGATATAATCAGTGAATGAAAGTAACAAGTAGGTGAATATTACAAACAGACAACTCAAACACGCCAGTCTCACACAATAATAGTGTTATACAATCAAAACCTCCCAGGCATGAGGTGACAGTAGAGCACTTATTTTCTGAATTTTGTTGAGGAGTCAAGGATATACGCAGGAAAAATATCAACCACGCTACAAATTATGAGTTGTTTTTAACATCAGCCTTTGTGCCTTGAAACCATTGAATCACTTGTATAGTTTTCCATGTTGACAAATAGGTAAGCTGAAGAGAAGGTGTGGTTTTTAGACAAATAGGCCTACTGTGCTTGACAATTATTTTAAAATGGTTGAGGGTTTTTCAAATATGTTTTATTATGACAAGAATTTTCCCTGTTCGGACATTAAGAAACCAATGCTGATCGAAAACAAACCATTTTCTGTTTTTTGTTGTTGTATTTTTAGTTCTCGTTTACTGTCCTGGGAAACCTTTCATTGATCTTCAATTATGGTGAGTCTGGTCAGAAACAACAACATTCAACAAACAAAAAAACACAGCTTGTATGTTAGAATCAGAATAACAATTAATAACTTCAATTCAATCACTTAAATTGCAATCATAAAAGGACATGTTGTCCTTATAGAGTCAGAGAATGTTACCATGCTATTAGAGCATCAGTAAAAACACATTCATTGTTTTTTGGTTAAAATTGGTGCAAAATTTCATGCTGTTAAAACTCTTGTAGAACCTTTTCTTCAAGAGTTTGTTAACACAAGTGCAAAATTAGTGGTTAAATCAATATTATATTAGAAAAGTCTGACATGTTGTAGTTTACAATTGTAGATCCTTTTTTTTTTTAAACTGAATACATACCAGTATTTGAAGAATACTTGTGAAAAATTATGTCCTACAGTTGGAGTATTTTGATGAGGTATTTGAAGGAATGGAGCCAAAATATCTTATGTTACCAAATTTACTTCAGCCAATTAATATGTTTTAAGTTGATTTTTATATCACCACGCTATGATTATTATCAAAGTACAAGTCTCTACCTCATCAACTAAGCAAACCTTCCTTGAATTGCGAGTTCAAATTACCATTAACCAAATTCACCCGAATTCACCAAAACCAAAAAGAGCCATATTTGGAGTTACATGCATCATGATGGATTCATGAGTGCATACCACAGCCACTATTACTTTCAACATTGTTTAATATATAATCTGTTGAGTAACTGTCTGAGTTTGATACAGAGATTAAGTTTCAAACAAAGAGTTCACCATACACATATAAACTTGCAAACCACAAAAAAATGTTTACTTCTCTAATTTTAATATTTTTAATTATTTTTTTTCTCTGAGGGGTTGTACTTTTTCTTTCTAAATCCCTTTTTGTTTACTCACATGCACTCATATCTCTGTTTTGTTTCGTTATATTGACACTCTCCGCCATTCATGCAACCACAGTCAAGTTCCGGCTCCAGACGATCACAACGTAACCCATAATACAGCATGGGACACCTGCCAATCAGAGCATAGTTACTGAACAACTCATCTTTTGTAACCATGGAACCAATGTCTGATTGTCTGTTACCAAGCAACCATTGTCAGTGGCCTTAACAACCAGTCATTTGACCAATGAAAACCAATCCTTTACTATGACATGGAAACATTATGATATGAAACTAACAACTGAAGACAACATGACAGCAGTTACCACGGCAAATGCAGCTACAGCAATACACAAATGAACATCTTTCCTTTGACCAAAATATTGCAAATTTCATTATATTTATTACTTCATTCAAGCAGTTTGAGCACTGGAGCCATATTTTGTTTCGAAATCAACAAAAGATGAAGGAATGTCAAAATTAAACATTAACCAGTATGGTTCATGTAGCCATATCTGAGGGTTTATTTCTGCCCATAAACAGCAAACCATTTTCCATTGTTTTAATTCAGGTTTGACTTTTTCTGCTCTTTACTGTGAGTTTAAAAAGCAGCCCAACATCACAACACATAGCACAAGAGCAAAGCTACACTTCTTTTGATGACGAGAACAGATTTGAAAACACAACAGAAACCACATGCTACACTGGCTTACCAGACCAAACAGTCACAATGACAACTACAAGGCAGACATAATGTGTGCTAAATCAAATGGTTGGATATGTTGACAGATAAAAACAAATGACATGTAGAAGGTACAACATGACACTCAAGTATCAGCTATATATGATGCCAATCATTTGAAGAATGTAGGGAAAAATGGCAGATGAACTTGCTCTTCCAGCAGCTAATAACATGAAACCATGGTTTATTACATGTATATGAACTGATTTCTAAAAAAACTTGATACATGTGGAGATGACTGATTTTGAAACAGGAATTTGAAGACAGAGATTTCTTGTTAAGTGGAAAGATGAAAGTCAAGCTGTCATTGGCTTCATCTAAAATATCAGACAAAACTAGTTGCCATGGTGATGGGAATTGACACATACCATGTATTGATGTGGAAGCACACTGATCGGTCAGCTACATGTACTACTGTATTTGTCACTTATTTTGAAAAACAATTGAACCTAAGAATCCTCTTCTCTACTCCTGAAGATATACAACAAACATGCTTTATGCTTTTGAATATCTAAATTTTGATTGTTAAAAGTCCACAACTTCATCTTACAACGGTCTTTAATTGAAATATACTTGAGATTGATATTCTCCTTCTGGCAATTGTAAATGTTAGTATTTGCCCTGACATTAAGTGTACTAACATACAAAGCTTTGTATTATGTATCAACAGATGACTTCTTGTAGAATCTGGATAAGTATTTTGTTATTAGTATTTAGTTATGTTTAGTTATAATTAGTGGCAAGTGTTACGGATGATACATCAATCATGTTAGTCACCACAAATGTAATGATCTGGATATAATGAACTTATGACAGAAAGTAACAATACAAAATAAACTTAACACTGTCAACTTGGCCAAACATTGAATAACTTATAGCATGCATATTTGGCCAACCAAAGTATAAATTACTCATGCAGCAAGGCTTGCTATTGGTTCATTTAGCTTCACATTTATACATATTCATGGCCAGTGTGCTCTTGTTTCAGCAAGAATATACAAAACACACCCATTTATTGAAATGGTTATTCTGAAAGGTAGCATATGATCATTCTCAGGCAAACGTGGAAGTACACCAATAAGCATCATATGCATTTGAGTTGAGAATTCTCATCATGGGTATGTGTGTTTGATGCATAGTACATGTAAGCTTGCAAGTCTACTTTCTTGGTCAAGATAATGGTCTGTCAGTCTATCAAGTCTGTTGTGTCCATGTATCCATAATTAGTCTGTCAAATGTCTTGTTGGAGGGAACATACTGAACTTTGTTTATGTAATAAATTTATTACATAAACAAAGTTCAGTATGTTCCCTCCAACAAGTAAATGAAATAAAAAATATGAAGTAAATTGGGAAGAATGACAGAAGAAAAGAAGGGAAATAAGAGGAGAGGAAGATGATAAGGCCACTTTTCACTTGAGAGAGCCCTTCCGTCCCGTCCCCCCCCCCCCCCCCCCGGCATGCCCTTGGGCATGGTTGTACAATATCGCATCCAATTTAGACATTTAGCCAAATTTAGGATAAGTCACAAACACATGCAAAGTATATATACGTGGTATCAGATCGAAGAGATAAGAAAAGAAGAAATGGAAGTGGAGTGAAGACATCCTCCCTGCATCCTCTTACCTACAAGATGGCTTCATGATACCCTTCAGATGCAAACAGATTCCATCATTCATGCAATAATGTTCATATTCTGGTCCACAGGGCTCTGTATGGTCATCAACCAACACTGTAAATCAAATACAAAACAAACAACACCACCACATATAAACAGACCTTGAAAAGATTAAGCAAATAAAACAAAACACACTTTTGAACTAATAAAAAACTTTAAAAAGACAAAGTTTGGGGATGGAGCAAAAATATCCCAAATTTAAAAACATCAATGTACCTCATTGAAACTCAGATCAGGCTTCAAATAATATAATGCATGGTTACATAATGGTGTGTCACTGTGCATGTTAAAATTACACTGGTAAAATACAGACACTGCTCTTGTATTTCCATTACAAGACCTAAGAGGTCTACTCCTGGGTGTGTCAGACCCACTGTTTGTCTAGGTAGGAGTTGTCATTACATTCTTACATTGACAGAGTGTTCCCCTGTAGTCTTCATCACATACACATCTGCATTCGGTGTCATCAATATGACCATGCACACCACAATCCAGGTTGCATTTTGGAGTCTCGCAACGATCACCAGTAAATGAAGGGCTACATCTATGGAATCAAATACAAACATTTCATGATGCATTATTCTCATGTTTGGGTCGGGGCAAATTTGAAATTGTTTGTATTAGCAGTATAACATTCAAATGTTCACAGAATACGCAGCAAAATGATGACTTGTTCCCTTTCCTATTTGTACCTACTGCACTGTCAGAAACCTTTAGCCTCTACTACTTCACAGTCGCCATTATATAAGGCAAGTTACAATGTAAATTGCGGGTGACAGTAGATTGCTGTATGCAGTGTTTAATGTTTCAATTCCTCTAATCTGATCAATTCATTGGAATACAGCTACCTACAGAACAATGAATGATTCCTACATGTACAAAGGGAAACAAGAGTCATGATTAAAAAGAAGCCAAGATTAATCAAATGTTTTCTGATGCTTTTCAATCACAGTATGTCTACAGATGTCAAAGGATGCAGGTTATAAGCAGACATAGTGTCTGCTACAAAGCCTCTGTCTAGAAATGATGGCAACACATCCATCAAAGATTATCTGCCCATTTTAAGACTCAATGAATGACATCCTGGATGCAATCTAGCAGGCCATCCAAGATCCAATGTTCAGAACAGTCTTGCATAACTACAGTGTTGTATCAAGGTTTTGGATTGGTGGTGGTGGGGGGGGGGGGGGGTGTTTTCAATTTTCGATGAAAGAGGCTGCTCGTTTCATTCCATATCATTGCTTGCATTTACCGCTGACTACAAATGCAACTCCCTTCAAAATTTTAATCGATCCAACCTTAACTTGTACTCTTCATGCAATTTTTAATTGCAAACTTATTCTGGAAAGCAGATAAGTTCTGAAACCAAGCAAACAGACTGTCTCCAGTATCTCCAAGTGATATTAAAGTGACAACGAATCCCCATTTACTTGCAAAGAAACAGCAGCTCTCTTGTCTTGCCATCTTCCACTTGGTGACATGTGCCTCCATTTTGACAGTAGCTACCATTATTGCAAAGCTGGTCAGCTGTACCTAGTAGTAAAGACACAGGAAAAAGTTAGAGAACTCTACAAATATAATGCTATAATATCATACAGGCACAATTCTAGACTATTGTTTTGGGTGGTGGGGGCAGCTGGCATGTTTTCAGGATTTAAACTTTAAGGAACTTGTTCTTGAAAATTTGATTTTTTTCTTAATTTTATCAAAGTTGTGACAAAACTTATGGAGATTTTAATTTCTTTTTTGGCTAAAAATACTTTTAGCGTCCCCCACCATCCTATAGAATTGGGCCTGAGTAGATTAATTAATGTAAGAACCTATTTACACACTAAGGGGGAAGGGGAACTATGATTACTAGAATGGAGATCAGGTAGCATCTGGATTATAAGCTATTAGAACACATGGATTGCTGTAAGGTAGACAGGGAGAAATAGGAGTCCTAAGGAAAGAACACATCAGCACTGATTAGTTAGGGAGACTAAACTGAACATGATAGCAGTAAGAAGAGAGGCAGGGCAACAAAAAAGCCTCAAACTGATTGTTTTTTGAAAATTTGATGTGGTACAGACCAAGAACTTTCAAACAGGGAATAAAAGGATAGGACAAACACTGTGAAAACTCGTGTTACCCGGTAATTTCTACATGACATGTATGCAGTAAAAACATGATGCCTGCTTCAGAAAAGTTTGCATTCCTGTCACAAATTTACATCAAACTTTTGTGCGCCTGTCAATTTTGCATTGTTTTCAATGTTCAATGGATTGTTGACTTCAACTACAGAACCTCCTCCCCCAAACAAGATATGCACATGAAAATGTTGAGCATCCTTGCTCTTTTGTGACTGATTACCAAGATCAAGACTGATGCATGGATGATGACTGCTGCCCAATATTGAGGTTCTGGTCTTCTACATCCAATAGCAGAAAAAAAATGGTCTCATAACCTGATGAAATGGGGTAACAATTGTAAAGCCATTTGAGACCTTTGGTAAAAAATGCTATAAGCACCACATTATTATTATTATTATTATTCTGGTGTGCTTTGTGATTGCTTACTACAGGTACATGTATGCTGGCACTGATCCGACGCAATGACTTGGACTATTTCTGGTTTTTAATTTAGAGGAGTGAGATAGAACGAAATGTGGTTTGATTGATGACTGCCTGGCTGATTCTCAATTTCCTTTGCATGAGGCCTTATTACATTTCATGCCATATCTTGTACCATGGTTACCACATAATCATTTTAAATAGAAATCTGCATCATGTCTTATTTATTTTGTTTACTCAAATGTCTATCATTTCTTTCTAATTTAGCAAAAGACAAACTAGGATCCGAGAGAAATAGGACATGAACATATCAGCAACCTCCCTCCCCCAAAAAAAGTTGATGCAAAAAAGAAAGTTCAGATTGTGGAAGCAGTATATTAAAAGAAGAAATATAAAACATTAGGAGAATGAGGCCGGAAAAAAAATGCAAATAAAAAATGTAGGACAAAAATCTGACAAATCAAAGTACAGGTGTCAGTAGGGCTAATGCTACAATTGGAAAATTCTGGCAAATCTTTTTGACTAAGGTAAATACAAAACTACTTTTTTTTGGGGGGGGGGGCAGAACATATACCGTTCTTCATTATACATACCTGCCTCTGCCTAAAATGTACAAACAACACAACAAGTTTGATCAGTTGCAAATGGTAGCTGGAAAATTGGTATTTGCAGCATCTGTTTTGTAACTATCATTCGCAAACTTGGAAGAAAAAAAATATCCCGCTTTAAAGTTTTTCTGAAATTCATGCAAACAAATAGAACATTCCAATTTATTTTCAGAATTTGAAATTATTTTTTTATGTTCATTTAAGACCACAAATATTTTACATCATGTGGGATATTTTTCTTCCATGTTAATTTATGCAAATGAAGTTTGAACGCTAGTCTAACATTAAACTACAGCAGTTTGTTTTAGCAGGTGCACATTTGAACAATCTACTTTAAGGACAATTGTCACTGGTTTATTGCTTGACATCAACCAGCTGTTTCTGTTAAAAATTATCTGCTCTTGTGTTTCATGAGTTTGTATTGAAACAATACAGGAAACTTTCAGATGGTTGCAAAACATTTTGTAATTTGAAGTCTCTCCTTTCCTAATTATCTTGCAAGTACCGTACATGTCCTACTAACAACATGTCAAACGGACCATCTGGATATAAATACGGTGAAGGTAAGGTGACTTATTCAGTCCAAAAATAAAAGGAGGAAAATGTCAATTTTTCTTCTTCAGAAAACATGTTTACTTTCAAAGTGATGCCATCAATACATGGAAGACAAAAGTCCACTTTTACCATAAAAAAAGAAAGCATTTCTTTGGGACATTTTGACCAGCATTCTAGTGTACATGCCTTTGTAATTTTGTACTAATCTATTGCCATTATCTACTTCAGGGTAATATTTAAACAGTTATTAGTCCACAACATTTAAGAGTAGATGGTTGTATTAATTTCTTCTGCATTTTTGGAAACATAGACAATCTAGGCCACAAGTTAACGGAAAGGACCTCCATAAAAGCCAAGGATTCATTTGAAACAACCAGGACAAGAACGGAGAGATTTGATTGGTTGATGTGTGCACCTGCTGTTATACCACCGCCGTCACCAGATGAAAGGTCAAACTCACTTTGGCATGTATCACCATAGTAACCAATATTACACTGGCAGGAACAAGTGTCATGGTCCAATGTGCCATGGTCACATGTCTTGTCACACATCTTGTCACAGGATTCACCATAGTAGTTGTCATCACACTGGCATTGACATCTGTGTAAGGATCAAATAGCACAATGCATCAGCTCATTGTATTCAAACCTTACTTTATTTGGGGCACAGAGTACATGTACATGTGTACTCAGAGCTAAGGAAGGGAATGTCTGTCTAATTTTAATGAATGTTCAGCAAGACTTTCAGGAATGAAGTTTTTAGCCAACATTTTACGGAGGCTGCTGCCTGGACAGGCATGGAATATTGACATTTAACAGGTTGCTGGGTCAAGATCAGACACAACAAACTGTACATTAAATGTATGTAATCGAGCAGTAAAGTGATTTGAATGCTTTGTAAGCCAAATAGGTTGACATGCACTGTATTTTGTTTGAAAAATAAACTGCAAGGCAGATTACATGAATATGAAGTGCCAAATATTTAAGTTTGGGTTCCATTTAAACATTTCGGAAAATTTCTGAACTGTTTCTGATTTGTTTTCATTTAAATATTTAAAATGTTAATGCCACAACCTTCCTAATAAAAAAATATGCCAAAATATACACACAAGAATGTCACAGACAAGAATGTCAACTGCATGACTCATTACTATAGAATAAATGTCAAATAAGAAAGACTGTCTTAAGAAATAAAACTATGAAGTATGATTGAAAGCTGTGTGTTTACCACCCATTTGATTGTCAGAATATGTCCTGAGTTGGCAAGGCATTCTGACTACAGTGACTGTACTTACTGATCAGACTGGACTCTGCCATGATCCCCACAATCCAAGTTACATGTCGGAATGGATGTGTTTTCTGGTTGAAGGGGGATGTTACATCTCAATCCATTCCAGCCCTTCTCACACTGACATTCACAACGCTTCAAGTTCAAGTCCCCATTCTCACAAGAAAGAGTACAAATTTCTGAAATACATGAGGAAAAAAAACAGAAAAACATAAAATAAATATAAGGGAAATTTATCAAATATCAAAAGCTGAGTAATAGTCAAAATTTCAAAAATGTTTATTCCTTTATCTGGCAGCACATTTAAATGCACTTGTTCCTTTGCAGAAATGTTATGTAAAGAAAAACGCTTTTGAGTCAAAATGCTGATATTGAAAAACATAATTATGAATTTGACCTCATATCATTTTCAATCAGAGAAGAGAAATTAGGGGGGGGGGGGTTAATAAAACAGAAGTCCTTATTTCTGATACAAACAACCAACTCATTAATAACAGAAAAATACATCATTTTCAACATTGATTGTTGTTGACCTCAATCACTAAGAGAATGTTTGACCCAAAAAATGAGGTTGGAAATGTAGATTCAAATTTGCCTATATTTTGATACAACACTGCATCTTGAAATATCACTCAGCATTAGGATCACATCAAATGCAACCGTCATCTCAGCTGCAGAATTACATGCCCCCTTTCTGTAGCGTTAAATTTAATTTAATCGTGAGTAAATCACGTAGTTGCACATGGCTCTATCTCCTAACGATTTGAGTTTGAGATGACTCAGATATTGAGCGGAAGAAGTGAGAGATGTTCACACATCAACAATCAACTGCCAGGAGGCTGTTATTAGTGCAATGCAAGTCAGGGGAAGGTCACAGGATCGCGCAAAATAAATCAACTTGTGTGGACAAATTTCAGCCATTTATTTCACTGCTGCTGCAAAATGTTTCACAGACAGAATTTAAATTAAAGTGCAGCTCTAAATTATGCACCTGAATTCTCATGTTCAATTCAATCAAAAGGTTCATTTGTCTAATTAACAAGTTTTGATTTGACAGAGTATGTGTACGTGAATAAAAAACAGAAATGAAGAATACATACATGTATGAATCACACATACATATTTATTGCTCAGAATTTTTCTAACCGATTTGTTGTGAAAATGCGCATGTACATGTATGATAATACCAAAATCTGTGTCTTGGAACTGTCACTTTGTGTGACATTATACATGTAAATGTCATTCAATCGTTTCCAATACGATCGCACACAAACTCAGTTGCACAATCCTCCCAATTTAGATTACCGGCCAATCAATGATGCCTAGGACACCATGGTTAGTAGATCTAACAACTGCATCATCAAGTGTTCTCTTGACTTGTGAAGCGACTTCTCATAGCCCTCAGGTGTATCACACATGCAGAGGAAGAAGACACAGCCATGATCTAAGCTGCATCCCCCATGCCAGCATTGCCAGCAGATCAGGGCAGGAGTATGTACAATGCCTGCAGCTCTTAGGTTGGTTTAAGCATAAGAAGTAGTCAGCAATAAGCTCTTCATCGGCCAGTGGCTCTCTCAATCAGGCTACAATGCTGCATTAGCCATAGATAGAAATGAGCTAGTTTCTTGAACGAGAGAGCTAAAATTGACTTCTTGGAAAAGGAACATTTCAATCTTCACAGAGGCCAGGCCAAATTTTAACTAGGGGATTGGCATGACAAAATGGGAAAATACATTCAACTGTAGACTAGCAGGGGCCAATTACTCACCACAAATCAGGAAGATAAACTGCTTGCCCTAGTATTTACTTATAATTTGTTTTGCATTGTATCTCTTCGCTGGTAGACACGGTCTGATTAAGCCCATAATTGATCCCATATTAGCAACATGTCTTTTGATTTCCTATACTAGAAAATGAATTTCTTTACCCTTCTCCAACAGGAAAAAAACACTTGTGATTGGTGATTTCAGAAAAAAACTACAATTTCATATAAACCTATTGAGTTAACTACATGTGCAAACAGGATCTGAATCCCTTTTGGTAGTAATTCAGTAGGATTTCCGCTTGAGAAAAACACAAAGGCTGTCGCTGGAACCTGCTCCAGTCCTGGAAATGATTGCTGGGATTGGCGCCTGCAGAAACCTTTTAATAACTAGAGCATACCGACTATGCAATGTGGCTGGAGGCAAGTCAGTGAATTATGCTCAATCTTCAATCTAATTGCTTTCTCACCATAAATGACTTACATATTTGAATCACAAAATTGTAATTGGATTGCATTTGGACCAAACTGGAGCTGAAAAGATGTGAAAAGATGCCGTCAGCAATTACATCTAATAATGTTGAACATTCTTCAAGCATTTTCATTTTGAAGCTTTAGGAAAGATAAATTTGAATCACTAAGTGAACACTCATTTCACAAGTACTCTATTATTAAATGTCTGCATGTTACTTAGTTCATGTTCAAAACACATGTATACAAAATACAATGTAGTTAATTTTTAAGAAAATCTCAAAGTTGTTTAGTTTCTCAAGTTCACTTTAATATTTTCTTGGGAAAACTACATGTACATGTACCGATTCACTATTCAAACGTGACTAATCACATACCAGCCACTCAATTTCTTCATATCTTGATGCTAAGACATGAACTGAGCTAATTCAAAAATATTAATTAAGCGTTCATTATTAGCCCTTAGCATATCAATGCCCTAGGGGATCTGACCAAATCAATAACACCAAAAAGAGCCAGGGAATAAGGAGTGGGAATGAGACATGGAATAGTGACACGTTCCACACCTCCTCTGGACATGTATTTATGCCAACACTCACAAGCACAAATCAATAAATAGGCTAGCCTCACCACAATCTTCTATTTTGTCCCCTACTTCATTTGTACTAATAGTCATCGTTACAACAGTCATTAAAAAAATTATGAAGTGGTCACATACATGTATTGAAGAAATATTTCTGTAATTATTGTTACTTTTATATTTTCTCCACATTGTTACATTTACATGTATTTAAAACAGGGTTATTGTAAATATAGTTCTAACAAGTGAGGATTCTAAGATGCAGCTTGCAAATTGAAGCAAGATGCTGCATTGTCAATGCTGAATCAAATTCTTCATGATGATGCATTCCTGTGCAACAAACCACTAAAACTCTTCTACTGTACATGGTAATTCACATTTAACTGTTACAGACCATGGCAAATAATAATAGTCATAAACAACATAACAAACAAATAACAAACAAAAATACAGAAATGGGTCGGGACAAAAAAATAACAGTAAAATATGTAAAGCAAAATTGACAATTATGGAATGTAAAATCTCTTTTTGTGATACAAAATGGGGGAATCAGGTATGATTACTCTACAAAGACTGTCATCATTTCATAATTCTAGGGGGGGGGGGACTGATGTCTGTCTTTCAACACTAGGTAATCATGGGAATCCTAATGGAACCCCACCCCCACATTAGTGCTGTCAAAAAGTTAGTGATTTGGAGTAGGCATTTCTGACATTCAACAATCCATGATAAAAGTGAGGGTGCACGCACAATTCAGGTTTTATAATTAATTGCTACAGTTACTGACGAAAACAATGTTCATTAACTATACTGCAAGCTTAAAAACTCATCAGAGGTACTGAAAACATTTTCAAGAAACTAACAAATTTTCAAGATACAGTTTAAAAACCTATCGAACACACATAAAAATAAAAGCATCCATTATGGGTAATTATCCAGAGACAACTACATTTAATGCACTGACAAAAAATATTTGAATATGCATAAGATGGACCTAGGGCAGACCCGTCACAGACAGAAAGACAGACATGGAGAGACTAATGGATCAACAGAGAGAAAGACAATAATACTTGCATGCAAATAAACTGATTGACAGATTGGAACACACAAAGAAATACGTACCTATAACCCAGATTGAAATAATGACAAAGATAGTCTAAGGGACAAGGCAGACAGACAGAACAACTAGTGAATGATAATCTGAGACTTCAAATGCTACACTTGATGAAAGTGCAGCGGTGAATGTCACTTAGCAGTGGGCAAAAGTGCACTTCTTAATCGGAAATAGCTTGTGAAAATGTCAAAACATTTCATCCGTAATGAAAATTATCAGCAGCCATGGAAGTAAGAGCAACAACAAATTTCTGATGTACATTCACTCCCCCTCTGTTTTTGGGTTTGATTTTGTTTTGTTTTTGTTTGTTTGTTCGGGAATATTTTTTTTTGTAAATTGACATTTGACCAATATATTCTGGTCCCCATGGATTTGTCGTTAAGCAGTATCAAAAAGCATGACTTGGGTGTCTAATTACCATCATTACCCACAAACTATAAAGCGGTCTTCATAAAAAGTAACCTCAAAGACTAGGCAATCCCAACATCAAGATTACTGTAAAGGATCGTGTTACCCTTCCAGCAATGAAATCGCCCCAGCTACAATCCCCTAGGATAGGTCAGACTGAGGGGTCCAATGAACAAATCATTTACCAGTTAAAAGTGGGTTAATATCAGGTTAATATCAGGTTCATAATGAAAGGTCTCACAAAGATTATAACACATATTATGTGAGCAAGATTGCTATACTAGGGTGAGAGGCAGTATTTCATTGAAATGAATAACAAATGTCCTTTTATCAAGCCTTGAATCAATTCTTGGCAATAAAAAGATATGGATTACTAAGTAGTGCATTTACTTTTCATGAAAAGAGCAAAGCCTCAACAATATTCACTCAACTAATAGAATAAAAATGTAAATGCTTAAACAAATCTAATAATTGGCTACTCAAAAGAATGCGAGTTGAAATGAGTTTATTTATAAGGTATGTCGCCCCAAGTAGTCAGAGATATTTCCATATTGGGAGACTACCAATCAACTTGCAAAAGCTGCAAGCTTGTTAAATCATTCAAGCTGCCTAGGTACATGGTTTTAAGTCGAACGTTTCTCACTTGATTGTCCCTGAGGATGCAATAAATAACATTGTGTCATTACTCAGAAGACTCCCATGATAACTGCAACTGTTTTTTATTGCACACTTCATATAGCCCAGATTTCTTCCAGTTCAGTTTGTGGATTTGTCCTTCTCATTCTAATGTTTTCTCTTAGACCACTGAGTTCAATTGCAGCACAATTTAGGGTCAGTTTCCCAG